CATTCCTGCAAAGTTTATCTAGATTAAGTGAAAAAGCTTTGAGAGCAATCAGTGCTCAGTGACACAAACTGTAACCTTCCAAGTAGGAGTCATAGATCTACGTTATCCTTTTTACAATATCCCCCTTTCTAAAAAACAGTGCGTAAGAAAGCCCTTTGTTCCTCACATATCATCCGTCATAGTGCAACACACTAATTATCTGTTAACAGTGACTCTTTGGGACACAGCATATAATAAGAATAATACAGCTGGAGAAGCCTGTAATAGTTACAAATAACATCCATGGTTAAAAAAATATTAAACATGAGATTAGGGTTAATCTCTGGCATATATATATAAGGACACCTATATAAATGTGGCCAATTTTAAAATTTTTTCTTCCCAAGGCAGGCAAAAGGAGTTCTAACCGATGAAGTACATGTGGGTAAACAAGGAGACTTTATTTATGAAAATCATGTATCATATTTGCACACCATAATGTGGGTAAGACATTACAGTCTGAAGAAAATGTTCATGTTAAGTAAGCATGCTGCTTTTAGTAAGGCCCGAGGAAGCACGTCCCGTAATGACATGCTTCTTGAAAGCTTCTGTCTCCTTCAGATAGCATTTGTCAGTGCAGCTTCCAATTATGTTCAATATTTCTCATTAGAAATCTTCTTACCCTGGCTGAGTAATTGCTTTTTGATTATTGATTATTTCTTATGGTGTTTCTAAAATTAATTCAGAGGGGATGTAAAATTTCAGCATATCAAAGATCATTAGATATTCCTCTGAAAAATGGAGAATTGACTTGATACATTTTAATGATGCCCTGTAGCTCTGAGTATGGGCTGAAAATTGGAGGCAGGGCTACTCAGTGAAGGGAAGGAAACGCTATATAGTTAGCTTATAACTTATACCTGTTTTTTGAAAATGAAGCAGCTTTGTTGTTGGATTTTATTGAAATAGTGCAAAGAATAAGTTGTGCTGTAGTGATTTGCGTTCCAGAGGTGGGCTTCTTGCCCTCAGTACTGTTGAAAACCCTCTACAAATGTCAAATCTGGAATTTACTCAAGGTGTTACTCTACTGATTTTAATGGACTTTTCCTAGAACTACCCAGTAGAAGTGAAAAGAGAAGGGTGAACATCCTCAATTTTTCACTGTGGCATCCAGTTTCTGCCAAGCTAATAATATGCTTTTGTACAGTCTAAGTGTCTTGGGCTTTTTTTGTTTGTTGGCATGTTTGTTTTAAGATGAAGAAGAACAGGAGTGAGCCAGAAAAGAAATTAAAAGCAACAAACAATAAAAACAAAAATCTGCATGTGTTGTTCTTGGTTTTCCCCACACTGTTAACTTGAAGCCCTCTGGAGAAGGTGAAACAAACAGCTGTCCTGGCTGCAATACAATTAAAATCTCCTCCTACAAAGCCAACTGCAAGCACGGAGAGATTGAGAATCTATTCCAAATACCCTGGGCTGGCAGCACTGCGAATTTAAAGCGATAAAATTAAGGGGCCATTTGACAGCAGTTACAGACCTCTTCAGTAACTGACCTCTCTATAGCTGTGAATTTTACATAAAATGCCGTGAACTATGAACAATCCAAGTAGGACACAAGAGCACCTTTCCTCCCCCTCCATAATTCATATAACTCTCTCTGTGAACACTGGTGGTAAGCTGCACCTTCAGTGAAGTTTGGCTGTGTAGCCAAGGTGTGATGCAATAAACAGCATGGCAAGAATACAGCCTCTGATCCACATGTGAAGACATCATTGCAATCATTGGCTGTCTTAACACAGACACACACAAATCTGCTTACTCTTTACACATCTGGTTTGCTCAGAAGTTGCTTTATGTGCCATACAACCACTTTCATATGGATACAAACCTCATAAAGAAGTCAGGCTTCGTGCAGCAGAATCTTATATTTAATAAAGTGCTATTTTTCATACGTACCTACAGATGCTGGCATTTCTCCCCACTGTAAAACAGTTTCCTTTGTGAAATGCCCGTATATATCAATGTAGATGCCTTCATCTTCATAGGTGAGTAAAAGCTCCATTCCGCTGGTATTCGGGAGGATGATAATGGCATGTGGGCGAATAGTCCCCTGGATCTAGAATCATATTTTACTAAGATTTAGATCAGAAAATGAACTGCAATTTTAGTGACTACATCAATCTAACTAGCTTGGCAGAGCAATAAAAAGAACTAGCTCATGGCTCATGGAAAGTGAAAGAAACACCTGTTTTCAGAAAGGCTGTATAGTTTGCTAGCCAGCCTCTGAAACAGGCTTTCTCCCCTCCTCCCCGCTTTGAATATGACAGTAGATGTGCAAACAAATCAACATTCAATATTTCACTCTATATTTCCCAGTATTAGTTTCAAGAAGCCATTGAGCCACTGAGACACAATAATATTTACTTACTCGCTCACAAAACACTTGCATTATATAAATAGAAGAAAGGTGAAATAAATTTGAATTCACAATTATTTCAGAAGATGGAGGAAGGACAAAAGCTTCCATATTCCAGGAAATCAGTGCTTTCACTTTCCATGATATTTCCCTATCCCCACTCACAAGCTAAAACCTGTAAATTCAACTCCAGCAAGTTGAAGTTACCCGGACCTTTCAGATAGAAGCCACTCTCTGTCCTTCCCTTCCCACATCCTTCACTAAAAATAGTTCCCCATTTAAATGCTGCTCAGCATACGTTTTCTGCGTGCCCCAGGAAGAGTGCATTTCACTCACACAAATTATTTTAACAGCTGTTCAATGCACTAGAATCTCTCCCAGAAGACACCATGTCCCGAGTGAAAAAAAGCGCCTCAGTATACAACCATGAAGGTGGGGTTTTACGAAAGTGTTGAAAGAAAAAGAGAACAGCCTTAAAGAACAATAGCAAAGCATTTCCTTGCTTAAAGCACTGCTCAAAACAGGATGTTAAATAGTAAATTAAACCACTACAATTAATATTTTTATAGGAAGCATATAACTGGAGTTTCTCCATCATTTTCACAAGCCAGCAACACACAGCTCTTTTTTTCTTCAAGCACATACATTTACGCACACCATAAGGGCACAACGAACAGTAAAAGAAGCACTGAAGCTGTACTTGCCAAACCGAACACACTCAGGCCAACCACTTGACTCCGTGCCTCCGCAACAACTATCCGTAACACTAGAACGGGTATCCAGAGTCGCAGAGCAATTTTAATGCGTTGCCTTGGTACTCGCATGAGCGATCGAAGCAGGTAAGAGATGAAGCAAGAGGTGGGGAACCAGGAAAAGAGGCTACCAGAAAGCAAGAGTATCTGAAGTCAGCCTGTTAAAGTCTGGTCTGTTGCCGCCACAAAGCTCCTTGAGAGAATTGTCCAATTCTAGCAGATGCTCTTTAAAATAATAAAATACCGAAAAAGATAGAGCCACAGACAGAGCAGCAGATTTATTTCAGGTCTAAGACTCTAAGGGGAAAATATATTTTTAGTACGTGCTAACTTTTGGTTGAAGAACACCACAAGTGGAGTCAGTTGTAAAGGTGCCCCACATATTCAGGACAGTCACCTGGGAAATCTCTTTCATCAGGTGCATAATTAGATTTGCAGCCTGTTGAAAAACTACAGCCTCTAAAAAGGTTCACTTTTTTCTTTGCCTTTTTTATCTTGGGCAATTATGCTAATGATCTTTTTGACAAGTCATTAGTCACCTTGCTTAGCCACCAGCTTCCAGGGACGGTATGGCGGCACCACGCTTAAGATTTATAAACTGATGTGAATTTTTCATAGTTACGTAGTTAACAAAGCTACTAATTGTCAGATTAAATAAACCCTCTAAAAAAACCCAGATATTAAGTCCCTTAAAAACCCCAACACAGAAATAAACAATATAAGCTTTTAGCAGATGATTCACCAGTTTGTTCTAAACAGCCAGAAAAGTTACTTTTTAATTAAGAGAAGTTTATAAACTTAACAGCCATCCCCAGACATAGTGTCCATCAAAAACACTGGTCTGACAGAATTTGAAGGCTGTCGCTTGTCAGGGCAGCGGAGGGGTGAAGTGACTCGCACGGGAGGCGTGGGTTTTCATTTGGTTTGAAAAGCTGTGGCTGAGAGCGGAGAAAAACGCGTTAAAAAATAAAAGGGTTGAAGGCAGAGGCTACAACACGCAGATCTGGGGCGGGATTTCTTCAGACCTCCTGAGCATAACTTCGGGACACCCTGCCTTGGGACACAAGGAGGGCACGGCACCCGGGTGAGCTAACCCTCCTCCCTGCGGAGCTCTCCTGACTGCAGGGAGGTTTTCAAGCGTGCACCGAAGTTTCCTTGCCAGGAGCCTCCCATCACAGTAGAGCCATGGGACCCTGCTAGTTTTCTGGACCTAAGACCCCAAGTTTCTCTTGGCTTTGGGACTCACGGCTTTGAAAAGAACTATCTAGAACAGCTAAAAAATAAGCAAGCAAACAAAAAAGGTTAAAACTGTAGCACAGACTTCATATAGCACAGTCACTCACTTCTACAGGGGAATTACTTTGCTGTTATCTGGGTTAAAGCGGGAATTTAGTGATCCCCATCACCTCAATGAACAGATGCTCAATGCAGTATGCACACATCAACCTGAAATCAACATCTTCATGCCAACTTTTTGACAATCTAAGGAGAAAATCCTAAGGAAAATGTAAAAATTCTTTTGAATTTAAGGACTGATTTCACGGGCAACTGAAAGGTAAAAAAAATTAGCAAACATATTTAGTCCAGAAGCTGGGATTCTGCAAAGTCATGACCGAAAGGCAAATCACATTTTGCATACAGAGCCTGCATCTGTAATCATATGAGACAAATGCAACTTTGCTTCATGGTGAAGAAGTTTGGATTATTTATGGGTGCACATGTATACCTGGTTCCTCCCACTACAGGTACTCATTGGTGCAAGGTTAACATGCTTGCAGTGGAACAAGATTAAAACACATTGCAGTCTTTGTAATCCAGGCCAAATTTCAGCTCAATTCAGTGATAATTTAATCAGCTCGTTAGCAGGATTGAAAAGCACAGTGGCAGATTGTAAGTCACCTAAATTCATGTAGATATTATTGTGTCTTTGATTGCTTAAGAAGTCTTAAATTTCCAGGATAAATCAAAAATAGTACTGTCCATACACCAGGCTTTCTGACATTAAACCATTAGAACTGATATTCTAAATGCGATAAAAGCCTTTTAACCGAACTTCAGTGTTACAAAAGTATGTGAAAAGTGGTTTTCTATTAGCAGGCATACAGTAATTATTCTCTTACCCTGTCTTTTGAAATACAGCACAACTCTTAACCTGATCATCATCAATACACAGCCCAAAAGAACAGAGGCATTTACATATTTTTTTTTTGAGTATCTTACGTGTGTTAGAAGGTACAGGTCATACACAGATCCAGAGTCCACATCAATAGCATGAAAGCCTACTAGTGAGCCGTATACAACTTTTAATCTTTGTCCATTTTCAACAGTCAGGTCAACTGACAGTGGTTTGTGATGAAGTGAGGTGAAGGACTGCAAAAAGAAAAATACACTATATAACACAATAAAGCTGCTGGTTTACAGATCTACATATATGATCTTAAGAATTTTCCAGAAGATAGACAGCTATTCTTGTTAAATAGTATGTTATATTTAAGCAGCTAACTACCTGTCATCCACTGAGCTGCAAGAAGAGCTGGATAATTCACTTGTGTTTTGAAAAAAACCCACAGAATCTACAAATGGACTAGGCAAAAATTAGGTTGAGTACCAGTCGTGTTCAATTTCCTCCTCTTTTGAGGGCAATCAGCATCAACTTTGTGAACTCAAACGTACATTTTGGCACAGCACTGAAACAAGTTATTCACATCTAACAGAATCACGACTGTGACAGTTTTATGCCTGCCATCTCCACTGTATGTCAAACGAGCTACATTTTCTTTAAAAGAATACTCATTTCATCTTTAACTAGAAATAAATGTTATACAAAGCAACAAAAAGCAAAAGCAAAGAGTAGATGAGAGACAGTGAGAGACAGTGATACGTCTGAACCAAAGTGAAGTTTCGCTTACCTTAAAAGCCATGAATTTGTGATAAGGCTTTGGAGCCCAAGCATAAACCTCCACTGAGTTTTTCAAAGCAATTACAAGGAATTTGATTCTCTCATATTTTACTGTAATACAAGAAGAACAATTCCTTAGGTACCAGAAAGACACTGAAATCAAAGACCATCTCACCACATGAAATAATTTCAATGGATTACTTGTAGAGGTAGATGTTATTCAGCAAGGAAGACTAATGGATTCTGAAAATCAATGTTTAATATCACCAGTGACAATACCTTGACTAAAGGCCTATAATTCATTTATTCTCAGTAAAGCCAGATGACTGTTAACAACATTTATACGTTGCTTTTCATATATTTATGAAAAAAAAACCAAAACCAAAACGTACAGCCCAGTCGTACAAAAAGTTGTTGACCCTGCAGCTAAGCCAACCTACTTTATTTTTTATGTGTGAACACACACCAAAATTGCTGGTTGTTAGTAAGCTACTTTTGGAGGAATGATGGTTGTTGGCTGAACATTTCTGTTACACTCTGAAATTTTCATTTCACTGTTCATGTGTGGGGTTAAATCCTCATGTGCTAGTGTGGGCGAAGGACTCCCAGGTTTCTGGGACAAGTAAGCACTTAAGAAAGGAGCAATTTCTCTAAGTTGATTAAGGTCATGTTGGGCCCATCGAGACGAAATGCACTGAAAATTAAGGCTTCTTCGTACATTGTGTTTCCACTCTGCCAGAGACAAGCATTCCCTTTGGAAACAGAACGCGAGGGTATCACATCCCAACGCATTCACCCTTCATTTTATATTCAGTGTCTGCTTGGCAGGGATTTTTAAAAGATGCAGGTGTTACGGTACTGAGTAAGGTTTGGTTTCTGTGGGAGGAGGGCTGGATCAGCCCTTGCTGCTTACAAACGGAGCAGTTGGCACAGACCAAACACAGCAGAAGCATGAAGAGTGGAGAAGGATGGACACTGGTCAGGAAAATCTCACACAGGCAGAGAAAGAAAAAAAACCCTAACTCCGCTAAAATGCAGAACAGCACATCTTTTTCCTCTTCTGCCTGGACAAATGGTTGTAAAACCAAAGGTTGAGATGAGAAGATTCACCAAAAAAACCCCAAAACCAACAGCAGCTGTTTTGTCAAAGAAGTAAGAGTGGCCTGTCATATGTAAACACAGAAGTTCCTACCAAATGTTTGCCTAATTTTAGGATAACTATTTAAAAAAAAAAAAACACAAAAAACCCCAAAAAACACAAAACACAAACCACAAAACCAAAGCATACAACACACCAAACCCAAAGATGAGCAACTGAAGTAGAATACTGGGTGCTTAGCTATAATCACAAAGAAAGTAACAACGCACATCTGTTTCACATTCTTTTTGTATTTAACCCTTGCTACTTGCAAAGCCATGAGATATAAAAGCAAAAAAAATAAAAATGTCAAGCATGGTATTTGAGAGGCAGCCACCTCGCCGTCTCCTGCGCTCCTTTACATCATTTCTCTATCTGACTTTGAAAAAAGCGCCACTTTCATGTACCACCTTTCACCAAAGCAAAACTTGTGCTATAGATCACAGCCCCTCACGCAGCTGAAGAACAGAAACTCTCATAATACTGATGTTCATTTTCAAGAATGATCTGCCTGAAAGCCAAATAAAAGCAAGGTGGTTTTTCATCTACAACAGTAACATTTCCAGTGTGTAAGTTTAAACAAAGGTATATTGGGGTCTTTTATGATCTAGAGACAGTGATGAGCTGTAGCACATCCAATCTGATCTACCTACGGACATCCCACAAATACAATTTACAAGCACTTTACTAGTCCAGTTTCTCAGCAGTTACTCAGGGCCAGGAGGGAAGCTGAATAGCGTGGAGGTGGAAAACATCAGTCTAATTAAAACTTCAAGTAACTACAGAACTTTTAAACTGAGCAACACACCAGGGCTGGCACTCCCTTCTTCCAGCCGTCACCAGGAATACCCATAACATCAACTGGTAACTGCTGCAAGAAGAGATGCTACCTGGAACGACAGGGAGCAAAGCATCTGCCACATAAAACAAGGAGGTTTGAAAGAACTCAGAGATATTCAGCCCAATTCAATCCTGAAACAGAGCTGAAGAAAAATGCTGGTATCGTGAGACACAAAAGGATGATTAAGCGGCTCCTCAAGGGAAAAACAAAAAGTTCTTACCAACTTTGTAGTGTACGCAGCCTTCCAGGTCGCCCACAGACACCCAGCCTTGCCGTTTCTCCACCTCTGGATCATTGCGCAAAATTTTATTTCTCAGCCATGATAAGTAGTATACCCTCAACTTATTCTTCTTGCCTAGGATTTGGAAAAAAAGACAGACATAATGCTTCAATTCACTGAAGTACAAACTCCCCCAGAGTCACAAAATGCCGGAGTCTTGTGACCTTGAGTAGAGCGGGTCTTTGTGCCTCGTCAAGGCGAGGGAAGAGTCCAGCAGCACAAAAGCAAAGCCCTCTGATGGTGACACACAGGAGGGAACTGGAACGTGAGTGATCCTATGGCATTTGGCACACACGCACTTACCTTGTGACTCAAGCTTCATGCAAGATTTTCACACCTGACCAAAATTCTTCCCTCAGGCCAAAGAACGGGTCTCTATAGACGCATGCATTATCAGAGAGAATCACACTATCTGGCATTTACTCTTTGATGTGAAGGAAGGGACACAGGTATGGCCTACAATGGCCATTGTGAGTAAGTGACTCATTTAGTTCTAATTAACTGACAATCTTCATTACAAGCAGCTATTTTCTTTTGGATGCCCTTCCAGGTGAGAGTTACTTTGTCATCTTTCATCTCAGTCAGTCTTTCTGTTGCTTTAGTTCATAAGTACATACGGTCAACAGCAGTCTGGGCTCACAGGTTAGTCTAAGAGAGAAGGATTGTGTCACATAAGCAACGGGACCTGGCAATATGGGACAAACAGCTCTCACCATCACCCACCATGGTGAGTCTGGACTGGAGAGAAGGTCGCTGGACCTACATCTCCGACCTTGTTATGGACTAAGCATCATCCTCTGAGGCCACTCACCCGTGGGGACTAAGGGCCTCAGCACCTTGCCGGGCAGAGTCCAAGCTGTTTGTCAGCAGAGATTGAAGACGCTAGTCCATTTAATGTCACTGATGCTTTCACAACATCGATCACTCATGTTACTGCTCATACACCTTGCTGAACACAGAATGAGGTTATTTAATAACATTTTAATAGCACTTAGATAGATGCTCACCTGTGACAGAAACAAGCAGACTGACAAACTATAACTTGCTGAGAACCAGTTCATTTTAAGGATAGGAAACACTTTATACTTCCCAGAAAGCATTTTACACGTTAACCAGGTAATGAAATATCCCAAAGCCTCTCTCAAATGAGAATGTAAATGTTAAAAATTCAAGAGAGTTTTCCTATTAACAAGAGTAACTGTCCTGTGATTTTTCTGTATGAAGAAATTCTTCAACCTAGTTTATAACCTAACTCTTCTTTTTAATTGCTTCCAACCTCAGCGCAGGTCAGATACTTTTAGACACTGAACTAACCTGATATAGTAATTAGCACATTGAGTCCTTCCAGAACATCCATTTGCTGGAATCGCCTCCTTGTAATCAGCGAATAAACTCTTCCTTGCCCACTTCTGTCCAGCAGCCACAGCCCATTCTCTGTTCCCACCAGTAAATTTACTCCTGTTGATATACAGAAAAAAAATACTGCATAAATCACCTAATGATTGAGAGGCCACCAAGTGTTCATTGTTTTAAGAACTGATTCTTACTTAGTCTTACTTAATGGTACTTGATAGTTTCTCTGTTGCTCTGTGGATGACCTTCCAGAAAAATGAATAGAAAAAAAGGACCTCACCATTAACAGTTTTTAACCAGCAGAACACTTATATGCCCATGCAACTTGGAGAATGAGTAGTTCAGCTGAAGTCAATGTTGATTTAAAGAAAAAGGAAAATGCTTTGTGAAACTGAACTTCTTGGGTGACCTTGGGAAGTGCCTGTGAGCACTGCAAAAGTCCCAGTCTGGCAACGCAGGAGATCCAACTAACTGATCCAAGGGTCTCTACCAATTAAAAAATTGGGGAAAAAAATAAAATCCCTTTCTCCAAATAATATAACACTCAAATCACAGGACGAGCAAACTTGGGGGAAGAAGGTCTGCTGTTAGGAGGAAGCAGAGTGTTTGTTTGAAAATGGTCGGTGTTTTGCAAGAATGCTTTCAAAAGCCAAATTAAAGGAGTGAATCCACCTGAAATCCAATTGCTCCCAAGGAAGTGAAGGCTCCAGTGGGTTGCTGACACCAGAGGATGTCAAAAATTGTGTTCGGCTGGCGTGACAGCTAGGTTTCCTAGTCAGCAGGTTCTAAAGAAACAACATGAGGTATCCTGCTGTAAGAAGCAACCTCCTCTACTGGCAATGCTCTGATGAGTACCTGGTGCTCTTCAGTCTCAATGCACATTTAATTACAGACCTTGCCACACAGCTCTGTACTCAATTTAAAATCTTGGACTCCTAAAAACATACATTACAGAAAACCTGCAAAGCTGTAAACTGGAAATCTGCATTTCCTTTGGATAATTTTTCATCTCCTTCATTCATTTTCCATTCCAGACTCAAAAAGTGAGGGGGAGTAAAAGGCTGGGTGAGTCCCATAAAATACCTCTGTTCTTCTGAAGTAGAAAGATGGTTAAAACAACTCAGGAGCTTAGCTAGTGCAAGAATGGGACAAGGTCTACAGTTGTTGAAAACTGGTCTGACTTCACTCATCTTGGTTTTACACCGTGTGAAACTGACCCTGTAAAAAGGGTGATCCAGCGAAGTTCTGAGTAAGCGCTGACAGCAGGAACTAAGGAAGCCAAACTTTTGGAAAGACTGGCACCTGACCTGCTTCAGATTCTTGGAATACCTAACACACGTGACAGCAAAAGGCTTCAGGTTTGGATTATTTCCACTGGGTCAGGGCTAAGTGCGATCAGCTGCACTCGCACACAGCTAAGACAACAGTAAGTATCATGAGCCACATAAGTTATTATAACATTTGCAACTTTTGGCTCTTCCAACGAGCAGTTTCAATTTGGTGCCCGATCAAAACATTTTCTGATTCTGATGCACAAAATCCTGTGCAACTGTAAGTCATCTGTTTGCCATCTTCTACCAGAAAGGCAGCGTCGTGCGAATGACGCAGGTATCTACTCAGCGATCCGCTCCAGGACTTTCTGACAGGAGAGGTGCAATACAACTGTGAAATCTGCCTGGCGTATGCTGGCAGCCTCTCCTGCTGCTGCCTTCCCTCCACACACACCCCCAAGTACTCCTGAGCTTACCCCACAAAGCAGCACAAAGGACCTCCGAGTTAAATTTCTTCTTGTATTTACGAATTTCCGGACTGTCACTCTGTGGGCGGATATTCGTTGGGTTGACGTTGACAACGGAGCCCTTCCTTGCATTTTCTCTCCTGACAGGCTCAGGTTTTGCACTAGATGCTAGAATGAAAAACACATGCAATCATGAAAAACGTGACTGATTGGCTACAGCTCACATTTGATGTCTTTATGACAGAATGAAAGAAACCCCAGAGGGGTGAAAAAACACCTCAGCAGGACAGCATTCCTGAGTGTGGTAAAACAGCAGCAGAGTAGAGATAGCCACATCTGGAAGAAGGGCAGAAGCAGTACAAGGAAAACTCATAGCGATGGGGAGTTTCAGTTTCTGGAGATGTTACTGACCATTTCCATCTCCAAGCAATAGGCCCTTCCCACTGCCCCCGCACCACCCACCCACCCCCCCCCAAAAAAAAACCAAACAACAGGAGTGACATTTTATGAGAAGGGTAAAGCACACTCACGAGAACTACAGGAAGGTCCTACTGGACTGGTGGGAGGGGTGATTGGCAGAAGTCTAGGATCTATGAATGAAGTAAACGATGTCGTAGATGACGTACTGCTCTTTGAAGGTGTGCTTTCAGTGCACGGGGTCTGCAATGAAAAACAAGAGCTGCTTCAGGAAGACGATGCGAGGGGAGCAGACAGCACACAGCAACGCGGTGCCTCTGACGTGGGGGGGAAGGAAAGAAAGAAAAGGGCGCAGCGTGAGAGATGGGGGCAAAAAAGTAGAACAATAAAATCCGTTAGGAAGCTCGAGATCTCTCACCCGTCCTCAAGATAAAACTTGTAAAGAAAAGAAGGGATGTGGTGAAAAATCTCCTCAAAAAAAGAGACAGGACAGATGGAAGTTAAAAGGCTCTCAACCTCAGGCTCCTAAGGGCTGGAGGAAAACAGTGGTACAATTCATGCAATCTAATTTCTCTCTTACCTTATTCAGAGGTTTGTTCTGAGGTTCCTGGCTAGTCAGTGGCACTTTTGGTGGGTTCACAGAGGAGTCTGAAATTTGGCTTTGCTGGAGGAGATCTGGCAGGAGATAGTTCTGGTTGTTTACACTCCAGACGCCCTCTTGGGTGCTAGAAATTTGCTTCCCTAAAATCTGGTCCTGCACATGAGAACATACCATTAAACTCCGCATTTAGCGTGCTCCCAATGCATTACGTGAGTCCTTTTAATTAAGACAATAAGTAATAAGCATATGGGGAGGGGTGCTCTGCGTGGTACACCATGTAAAGACAAACCCTCCAGAAAGATTAAAATAAAAAATTAAATACAAAAGAGTGTGGCAAACACCTGAGAAATCAACACTGGCTTCCACCCCTGAAGTGCTCTACAAACATTCCTCATCCACGTTACTTCAAGCCAGAGGTAAAGAAGCAACTTCGTCCTCAGAGACACTTGAGACGGAATCAAACGACTTGTCCTAACCTTACAGAACTGACCTCTACCTACCACCGTCAGAAGTGGGCACTTTTTGGTTCTGGGCCTGCATTTAGTTCAAAGCCCTTTACCATTCATTTCATTGCTACTTTCCATTTACCGAATTAGGAAACTTTATTCTAGAATGCTGACACTCAGTAGGCTCTGGTACCACCATTTCCAGTACAATGATGTTTGGTACTGTAGACCCCTTTAGAGGATCCCACCAGCTTCAAGGAAATGTTTGTTAACTACATAAGGTGCGAGGCACCGCGCGAGCTCTCTCTCTCTCCGACAGCACAAAATACAGAGTCAGGGGTCGGTTTCTGGGAATACATGGATAGAAGCTTTGAGAGCAAGAAAGAGGGGATGTGTAAAGCAAGTGGTGTCCCAGACAGGGAGGGCAGTGCAGAGGGATCTACCCCTGGTCTTATCGGTCAGGGTACCTGAACGCCATTGGCACTGGAATGTAGGGAGTGACGGGAGCCAAGTGCTACGCTAGAAAAATCCTTCTGAATTACACCAAAGCAAAACGCACCACCAAACTCGAGAAGCTTCTGGCTGGTTGAATTCAAGGCAAATCTGTACATTGTACTGACTTTGATAAACAACCTACTGAAATCAGATCAGCTTTTCTGAACGCTGGCCAAAATTTTGGGGGGGTGGGGGGGAGAAGTAGATAATTCTAAATAAAAGGCATTTGGCCTTATAAAAGCCAAGTAATTAACTAGAAAAGAAACTGATGCTCTAAGTATTTTAAGTTTTAATTAAGATGTAAAAAAACAAAGCAAACTAGATTAGGGAATGAAGCCAGTATGGGGCTTTTTTGTTCAGTTTTGGTTAGATTCAGCCGAACTGAACCAAACTCTCATTTGAATCATTTGTGCAGTTTGGTACACCCTAATCACTTCAAACCAGTTCACACTGATGGGCTAGGGAAAGGGATGTTGGAAGATGACATGGAGACTCGTGATGGTTGTGGTTGGTGAAACACAGGTGGGAGGAACAGATAGGATTCTCCATGAGAAGGAGCGAGAAGATGAAGGCATCAGAGAGGTCTGTGAGGAGAGGTGGCAGTCATCTGTCTGTTCTCCCTCCTGCATTGTCCTCCCCAAACCCACCAGAAAATGTGACCTTCACTCTTTTCCATCCTCCCTATCCTCATTCTGGGCCTCAAAGACCCCATCCTTCTCCTTTCCCTCAAGCAGCCTATTTCCAATGCCCACATATCACGGCAAAGAGAAAGCACTGGGTTGGATTTGCCAAAAGAGAAATCCTGGGTTAGCCCCATTTATAATTCCTTCTCCAAAGCAGGGTCTTTTCTCCTTGAGGATGGTGGGATGAAGGCAAAGTGGGACTTCTTCCCCAGTCAGAAAGGATGCCACTCTGGAACTCTTTTTCTTGCTAGCCCTGCTGCAGCTCACACAAGTAGCTCTGGGAAAAACACCAGTTTCACAGAAATTTATTTTCCCTATCTGTGAAACAAGAGTACGCTTGGTAATATGTGAGAAGTGCTCTAACGCTGAGTGCAAGTCCTATTACTGTAATTTTTTTTGTTTTCAACCACAAAGAACATTGTTCTGCTTTGTCTGTCTTCATCTTTTCTGCAGTAATATTTATCATAGGGGAAAATCCACATGAGTTGAAGTGTCTACTAGAAACTACAGCTGAGAAGGAACCACAGCATGACATATGAGAAGATGTGTACTTTTGCTTAGCCAGTAAGGAGAGATGAAGTGTTTTTCCCCTTTTGTGGTAATATTTTAAGTAGTAAGAGGTAGTTCTCTTTAAATTGGAATAAAAAAGATCAAGTTTTTTAAAAACAGCAACAACGCAGACCAACAAGAATCAACAGTATTGCTTTTTTGCAACCTGCCCAGTGCCTTCAAGAAATACATTGACATCAAAAACTACTACCAGGTCAATAACAAGGACGAACAAAGAAGGGCAATTTCATACCTAAATGTAAGCATTTTTATAGGAAGCACAAAACCTGAAACTACACATTTTTTCAAGGCTCATAGCTGTAATTTGCAATGACAGAGCAGGACTTCAGAGTGAAAATGCTGCCGAGAAGAAATGGATACAGCGTTTATCACGCACATTAACGATCTGACTCCCCCCCACTGTACCCACCCCCTTACAAATGGCCAAATTACCTTCTGTTCTGCAACAGTGCTTTGGGGTTTCAGTTCAATTCCATCTGGTACTCTCGTCCTTGAGAAATCTGCCACTCTGCTGCTTAGCAGTTGCCTGGTAACAAACTCCAATTAATGAACAGAACTACTTCAGGGAAAAAGAGCCCAAAAAACAAAAAAGCAAAAAACCCCACATATACATATTCAAAAGTGAGCATAATTAACATTCACTAGTTACACTTAAAGGTTCTTGTACAAAAGCAAGCTGATTAGTCTGTGGATGTGCCTGAACGGACTCGAGCCTGAGGACCACTCACACACAGCAGGAAGCTCTCCCCACCTCGACGGAGAGCATCCCTTCATCCCCCTGCACTCCACCCATCATTTTTCAGACACTGCGTAGCTCAGGCAAGTGAGAGCTGGTGGATCAAGCTGTTGTTTGAGAAGTGCCTACTTCAAAACTTCCCCCATCTCCCCTTGTACACTACCCTGCAGGGTGCAATGTCGCTGCTCTGCTATATGCCAGTATCAGGGACCTCTCTGCCAGTGCCTACTGGGACAGGCTACACTGGAATTTCGTACTGTGAATCAGTCCCTGAAACACAGACACCGTCACCTTACGTACAGAGAAACAAAGAAAATGTTGCCCAGTGCACAAAGAGGCAGAAGAACGTAAGAGCTACAGGACTGGCCGGGGCCAAAAGCCCACCTAGCCCAGTATCCTGTCTTCAACAGTGACCAAAAGCACATACCTAATGAAAGAGTAAGAGCAAGGCAATTATCTGTTTTGACATACCCCAGCATACTATTGCTTCCTACACG